TCGGTGCTGCAGGGTTTTAACGGCACCATCTTCGCTTACGGTCAAACCGGAACCGGGAAAACCTACACCATGCAGGGAGCTTGGGCGGAGCCGGAGAGACGGGGCATCATCCCCATCTCCTTCGAGCACATCTTCACCCACATCTCCCGCTCCCACAACCAGCAGTACCTGGTCAGGTTTTTTTAGATCTACCAAGAGGAGATCAGGGATCTTCTGGCCAAGGATCAAAACAAGAAGCTGGAGCTGAAGGAGAACCCCGAGACCGGGGTGTACATCAAGGACCTCTCCTCCTTCGTCACCAAGAACGTCAAGGAGATTGAGCACGTGATGAACCTGGGGAGCCAGACGAGGTCGGTGGGCAGCACCAACATGAACGAGCACAGCTCCCGCTCTCACGCCATCTTCCTCATCACCGTGGAGTGCAGCGAGACGGGGCCGGATGGTGAGGAGCACATCCGCGTGGGGAAACTCAACCTGGTGGACCTGGCCGGTAGCGAACGCCAAAGCAAAATGGGGGGGACCCATGGAGAGCGTCCCAAGGAAGCTTCCAAGATCAACCTCTCCCCCCCCGCCCGGGGCAACGTCATCTCCGCCCTCGTAGATGGCAAGAGCACCCACATCCCCTACCGGGACTCCAAGCTGACCCGCCTGCTCCAGGACTCCCTTGGTGGCAACGCCAAGACAATCATGGTGGCCACCTTGGGCCCGGCCTCTCACAGCTACGACGAGAGCCTCTCCACCCTCAGGTTTGCCAACAGAGCCAAGAACATCAAGAACAAGCCCCGGGTGAACGAGGACCCCAAGGACACCTTGCTGAGGGAGTTCCAGGAGGAGATTGTCCGGCTGAAAGCCCAGCTGGAGAAACGTGGCATGCTGGGGAAGAAGAGGAGAAGGAGCAGCAGGAGGAAGAAAACGGTGGATGGAGAAAGCGCCACGGAGAATGAAGGGGAGGATGACAATGAGGATGGCCTGGAGAAGAACATGGAGAATTACTTGAAGGAGCAGAAGGAGAGGCTGGAAGAGGAGAAAGCTGCTATCCAGGATGACCACAGCCTGGTGAGTGAGGAGAAACAGAAGCTGCTGCAGGAGAAGGAGAAGATGATAGAGGATCTACGGAAAGAGCAGGAGGCCACGGAGCTGCTGGCCACCAAGTACAAGGTACGTGTTGCCGCGTGAGAGATGCTGGGGGAAGACCTTGGAGCACTTTTGTGGGGTGCTTGTGTGGGTCCAAAGTAGGGCTCCCAGGCATGGTGGGCTCCCAAGCAAGGTGGGCACCCGAGCAAGGTGTCCAGGTAGGGCTCCCAAGCATGGTGGGCTCCCAAGCAGGGTGTCCAGGTAGGGCTCCTAGGCAAGGTGGGCTCCCAAGCAAGGTGGGCTCCCAAGCAAGGTGGGCTCCCAAGCAAGGTGGGCTCCCAAGCAAGGTGGGCTCCCAAGCAAGGTGGGCTCCCAAGCAAGGTGGGCTCCCAAGCAAGGTGGGCTCCCAAGCAAGGTGGGCTCCCAAGCAAGGTGGGCTCCCAAGCAAGGTGGGCTCCCAAGCAAGGTGGGCTCCCAAGCAGGGTGTCCAGGTAGGGCTCCTAGGCAAGGTGGGCTCCCAAGCAAGGTGGGCTCCCAAGCAAGGTGTCCAGGTAGGGTTCCCAGGCACGGTGGG